AAAATACTTTTTTAACTTTTATTTTTATTGATCTAAAGTGCAAAACGTTATAGTAAGGAGTTGACTAAATTAGCAATTTAAACTTCCTAAATTAATATTTTAAACTTCTGTAGCAGATACATTCTAATTGATAAAAACAAAAATGATTGTGTAAAATTACAGGACCAATAAAGAAAAATAAATAATACAATGAAATAAAATAAACATATATATTAATTCGCTACAAATAATAATAAAAATGGAACGGTGAAACAATAAAGTGGAACAAAATTTTCCTGTGTTAAAATTTCCTTAGAATTGTTTTTTTCATCTCTTCCTTCTCAGCCTATAATAAATTTGTTAATTTAAGACAATTACAACTGTAAGTGATACAGTTTATTGAAATTTATTCTGTTTTCTACTGTTAAGGAGTTTTCTAAACAATAGATGGATAACTCAGCGGCACGTATGATCTTCCATATAATGCTTCTTTAGATAGGGCAATTTCTAAGGAGATGGAAAATTGTGTCTTTAATTTTCATACAAAATGGGTAGCTCTCCTCTGACTGGAAGTTGATGAATTTTGGTCAAAATAGAATCTTGATGCATGTTTTGTTGACCATCAGCTTTATGTGAACTACTTATCTGATTTTAGCTATTGGCATCTTAATATTATATCATCTAAACATGATTTTATGTTTACATATGGAGCTGAATGAGTTGTTGCACTTTGCAAGACCAAGAACGATTTTAGGCAATACTAGTTAAAATATAGAACTGTGATCAATTTTACCTCAAGAAACATCATTAAAATTAATAATTTAAAATATTGAAATTGGAGTTGATCATTCTGTCAACTGAAAATCTTATATAAATATACAGAAATATTTGAATATATTTGAGTATAATATATACATTTGTTTTTTATAACAACAGAAGAAACTAACATTGGATTGAAACATATGAAATTGACTAACTTGACAGCAACACTTACTGAAATTATAACAGTAGTTCAAAAATATCATTATAAATCATAATAAATCCAAAAATCAACATTTAAACTTCAAAAAATACCTCTCCTCCAGTTTATATCGAATCCAGCTTAATTACTCAAACAGACACTGTACAATTTATTTTGTTAAAACGACCCAAACTACTTTTTTCGAAATATACAAAACTTAAACTGAGCCAGAAACTAAATAAACATACAAAATTACTTAAATCCATATGGACATAATAGATATACGGTATCGCCAAAATGACCTACATACAAAAAAAAAAATCAAACCTTCCAATCAAAATTACTACGAATCATTACAGAAACGCCTTTGTATGTAACTAACAAAACTCTATATGATGAAATCTTTCCAACAACACTTGAACACCATATAACGATCCTTTACAAACGATTTTATACAAATTTGTATGAATATTGTAACATAATGATGCAGAGATGGTTGACCGTTGATATAATATGAGAAGGAGTTGATTGGAGGGAAGGAGAGGGGGGGGGGGTGCGGTATATTATAGGTAGGTATAGTAAATAGTATTATTTAATTTTTGCGAACATTTCAACCCACTTTGCAGGTCCCACTTTGCAAAGATAAGGAATGAGTGTATAACAGACTAATAAAGATTACATTTGATAACTGTAGGTTAACAGATAAAGAACATGTTCTTTAAATCTTTATCAAATATAGTTAGTAATCTTTATTCGTTTATTATACACTTATTCCTTGTCTTATATCACAATTTGTTTACTTTTAACTTACACGCTATATTCTCCTTTATTTTATATTTTTATTTATACATATTTTCCATTTTTGTTTGTATCTTCTACATATATAGTACTTGATATTTTAACTACATTGTCGCCGACTATATCTCTGATATCATCTTTTTATTTCTTTATCAGACAACTTCTTCTTATTTTATATCTACTTATATTCATTTATTTTATTTTCACTATGATTTGTGTCTTTTTTAGCCCTGATGAAGACCTGCAAAGTGGGTCAAAACGTCGGAAAAATTAAATAATACTATTTGTATAATTTAATATTTATTTGACCGCACCCCCCGATCAACTCCTCAGAATATTGTAACAGTTTTATAAGAGACACGCCTACAGCTGACATACCCCTGAATATGACAAGGAGATTAAAAAGGAGCTGGATACGAGATCTCCTTTTTTTTTTAACCAAAGTAATTGAACCAAGCTAGGGAATAGGTGCTGCAGAGTACTCTCCTTCCCCATGCCTTTCCTGATATGTCATAATTTTCTGTTTTGTCATCTCATTTGCTGATTTTATTTTTCAATTTCATTACACAGTAGACAGATGCAAATAAAAGTATGGAAACATAAAACAAATTGTTAACAATAAGAAAATTAATTTTAAATGATTCTTATATTATTGATGTAAAAAACTATAAATGGAAATGAATTCAAAATTGTAAATTTCATTAAGAAACAAATCTTGTCTTATTTAGGGTAAATAAGTATCAAGGTTGTAAAGTAAAATAGATCCAAAAATAAAAATTTTCTTTTTCGTTATGGGAAGAATCCGCTCTTTAACCTCCCTTCTGGTTTCCCTAATGGAGGAACACAATGAAAAGGCGTTTAACGTTCATTGAAAAAGCTGATGAAATGATAAAGCCTCGCAAGTTGAAAAAGCTTTCTCAACATTACCTCGAAATTCAGTAAACAAATTGATTCAACAAACATTGAGACTTCATCTCTCAGAACTAATACTAACTGAAGCACACCTCTCCCCTCTTCTATTCCCCCCCCTTTCTCTTTCCAAAAAAAAAATAATAATTGTACCTACTGTCCTTCATGCATTTAGCGCGATAATGGTGCAATGCAGAAGAAAAAACACACATAAACAAAGTGAATACAAATCTCAGATGAAATTATCATAGAATAAACAGGTGTTCTTTTGCAACGTAAGTAAAAATCACTTACGTTAATTTTACTTTTACTTATCCAAATAAGTAATATATAGTAAGTGAAAGTATTTGCGATCGTGAAAATTTTCAAATACGAATTTTCAACAGAATTACAAATTTGTTGGGTATAAATAATCATTTCTATAAAATGTAATCTGCGTGTTTATGTGTGTGTGAGAGACAGGCAGAATTTATACTACTTCACATCATCGATTTAAAATTTTTTTACAGTTTCCTCAAAATCGGTTCTAACGATTTCGATTACATTCGGTATATATTAATACACTTTTATATCCTTTAATAAATATACTGTAATTTATCATCTTTCAATCCGATATTATATTTAACTATTTGTGTACATATCTTTGGTTTATTCAGAAAAATCCCTCTATAAAATTATAGAAAATTAGTAGTGAATAATTTGATGAGTTAGTGAATAATTACATTATCCTCTTATAAATCGTTTAACACTTTTAGGTTATCGATGGTAGACAATGAAAACCTCATTACTCCATTTTATTTAAGTTTAAAAGGAAGGAAATTTAATAATATGTATGTTATTAAGATTTACTACTTTTAAGTATTACTATGAAGGAAAATCCTTACATTTATAGATTAAATATATAGGTGAACTTTCAAACCACTCTTTTCAAATAGAGTTCAAAAACTGGAGTTATGTGGTTCAAAAATACAGATGGGGGCAAGAGATTTTCATTGTTTACCCTGGAAATAATAAATAAGGCATCTAGTCCAGTAATCTTTTAATAAAAAAAAAATAATAAAATAAAAAAGAGGGTATCTAAGTTACAATAAGTTGTGGTAAAAGCTCTTTTTTTATGTATGAAACACTGCTACATTTTCACACTTTAATTGGTTTTTCTCCATTTTTACCATGAAGGAACACATTTTTGACAGAAACAATTTATGCATTTTTAAATAAGACTAAATTTACTACTATTTAAGACCAAAATAAACGTGGTAAAGCTTATAGATTTTGAAATACAGCTCTTCAAAATTTGGCAACTTTTTGAAACTTCAGAATTTTTAATTAATATATTTATTTAAACTGCCAGCTGTACAGACTACTAAACAGAAAATCTAAACTTTCTATTGAAAACAAATTACTTATTTACAAGACAATCCTGAAACCTATTTGGACATGCGGACTTGAACTGTGGGGAACAGAAAATTTTTCTAACATCGAACGTATCCATTCCTTTCAATCTTAAGTCCTTCGAACAATAGTTGATGCTCCGTTCTATGTAACTAACAGAACCCTACACCATTACCTTAATATCCCATTCGTCCTAACCTAGACCTTATTCCCGAAAAATTTTACAATCCTCCTGGAAGGTTGAAGCGGCAGTGGCCCAGAGATCTTCTGTGAATAAGCATATGTTGGAGTTCTGGCAATGGTCAGATTCAGCCAAGTATGTGTGATTATAGCGCCTCTCCTCTGCCCCTACTGGTTCTTAATACCAGTAATGCGGCTCAGTGCGAGGCGCTGGGATCTCCTGGAGTCCTGCCTTTGCTTCCATGAGTGAGGAGAAAGACTTAGCTCGGAGTTCTTCTGAGTGAACGGATTCTGTAAATATTGTATAGTATGCATGTGTTTTAGTTGTTATTCTGACTAGTTTAGTTATTTTGTTTATATACATTTACTTTTATTATCATTAGGTTCTGTATTATTTATTTTTATTTATTGTAAGTAGAGTGTTTATTTACTGTCTGAACACTATTATAAATGTTCTTAATTGTGACAAATCGCTAAGTAATATTTAAAAAAATATATATTTCAAATTTTTATTCTAGAAGGTGGATTTGCTTAATTCTTGTCTTTCACTTACGAGGAAACACCTTTTATTCACTTTTAGTATAAAATTATTACTTATTAGAAATAATGAAATTAAAAGAGCTGAATTATTTTTTAAAGAAAAATATGTAGGTATTAAATAAAATTTTAATTCAATAATGTGTATTTTCTCTATTATAACCAGTTATTTTGTCAATACTTCGATTTTTTTTATTTTAATTTTTTTTTTCTTTTACCCGCTAGATTGCCGAAACCACAGTGGCATTGGTTTATGCCAAATTAATGCACTGTTACAAGCCGGAGCACAACGTAGCAGGTTCTATCTTTCGCCGAGATTGAACTATATTCCAGAGGAGAGCATGATATCCAGAGAGACGTGGCTCGCGCGTCTATGATGCAGTAGATGTTTCTATTAGCCAAGTGCCCGAGGGTGCGTCTCTGAAGGAGTTGATGAGGCTTGTGGAAATATATGGCAACCAGCGAGGCCCGAGGCGGCGGCCCGGATCACGAACTGACCAGCCTATACTCGATGGATACCACCTGCTATTATTTATTTACCACCGCGGGGGGGCAGAACCCTTGTCTTCCGAGTCTATTGGAAACTCCCGCTGCGCCTCAATATGGTTCCGGGACGGAACGAGAGCAATTCCCGAAGAAGGATGTGCTCCACATGATACTACATAAGCCAACAACCTAAACAACAGAACATTTATAAATCAATAGCCAGCTATTTGAATATTCACTTCATCAATGAGCAGTTTTAGCATCTCTTAAGAAATTAAGAACTTCATATTTGAAATATAACCTCCCAAAATCTATCTTTGTTAGTCTTGAAAAGTCCGTATAGCATACTTGCAATTTTACTTTAATTGCATACTAGCGCTCTCGCTCAATCTCCACTGACTTTAGCACCAGTGAAGCGGTTGAGAGAGTATGGCATGGATCTCTGGGATTTCTGCTTTCCCCTCTATACTTGGGATTCTCAATCTGATTGTATATAGGTGTGACTGTGTTTTTATGTTTTTTAATTTACTTAGTTTTGAGTTATTTTGTTTTTTATAGTATATACTTTTTGATTATTATTTATTTATTATGTTGCATTTGTTTATTTTATAATTTCTTTCTATATGGTGTGAATGAGTTCATATATAACTATAATTATTGTCCGAGTGACAGATCGTTATTTATCTGGATAAATAAATTAAACAAATAATAAAAAATTGCATACTATATCAGGTGGAACTATGACGTAATTATAAATCATACAATTTTATTACAGGTGAAAAATAATTAGGCTTATGGTTGTATAAGTAAAATATATTATACTAGTAGGCCCGTGCGAAAAATTCGCACAGCATATTGTTATCAAATGTCAAATTATTAAGAAAAGAAAATAATGCAAGGTATCAAAAGATAAAGAAATGAAATGTTACTTTATCGATAAATATAATCGACAAAGAGAACAAAAATTAACTTAAATCTTTATTTTTGTTTGGAACCAACATGTTCACAAATTTCAGTAAGCTGCATCTTTGTTTAAAAAAGTCCGATTTCGATGATTTTTTTTTCGTTTGTACGGAATTTAGTAATCTTTTATATGATCATGGGCATAACCTAGGGAAAAGTGTGTTATCTCGAAAATAGTTCGTTTTGGGGCTTAAAAACGTAGGATCCGATAGTTGCGGAGGAACTATCCGGGTCTTGCTGTACACATCAAAATCTTCAAGATCCAATTTGTCCCGTATCGATCTACAGACCTACCACCATTCCAGTATTGAAGCCTAGCAAAATATTTGCATCGACTGTATTTATTTTAGAAAGAAAAACAAAAGTGGAGAATACGATTCGCTAACCCCCCATGAAATTCTGAATCCAACGGTACCCCATTCTTGGTATTTGAGCATGACAGGAGCTTATATTTGGTACAAAACCGATTTCGAGCCTAACTGTAATAATATATGTGGGGATATGTGGGGATATATTTGGTCGGCATTATAGATCTTGTGTTGCCTTAAGCCAGCCTTCTCTATCTATGCCTATCTCGGACTATTTCTTTCCATTTATCTATCTGCAGAGCTATTGCGTTTTAGTTTGTTTCGATGTCTAGGAGCAAAACATCCAGGTCATTAGCGCCCGATCAACTAAATAACATCATTTAATAATATTTGGATGATTGGTACAAAAAACAAAATAAAAAATAAAAAAATAATAAGAAAATAAAAAATAAAATAAACAAAGAAATGGATTGATAGAATTTATAAATAGAAAAATTTATAAATAGATAAAAAAAGCGTTTTAGTTGATTCTATTTATCCATATTTTTTTTTTGGCAAGCTGTTCTTTATGTATTATTGAGACCTTCATTGTTGTGTAGAAACTTTCAGGTGAATTGGATCTCCGAGCTATATACCCAACCCATCTTAACCTCAATGACTTCATATCATGGGATATTAATTGACCAATTTCTATTAGCAGCTTGCTCTTTCTCATTGGTACGGTAGAACCCTGATCCCAGATCGCTTCGGTGTGGAGCATTTTTATCACATATCTTTCCATACTTCTTTCTTGGATGAAATAAAAGGAAAATGAAATACATTTTTTTTTATTTCCTGGGACTGTTGTCTCTTTATAATAAATTGTAAATAAAAAGTAAATATCTGTGTGGCTATACATTAAATTAAATGTTTTCAAAATAATACCTAATTAAAGCATTAATTCATTCATAATATTTATTTATTGCAAACTGCACCGTATTATGATCGAACATTAATTATTATTATTAATTACTTTCTCAAATGTTCACTAATTGTTATAAATACTCACAAAAACATGCTTTTAAATATAGTCGTTAGTTATTAACTTAATCGTTTTCGTCTTCTTTCAACTCATACTGTTAATAACTTTCCAATATGTTAATTAAATATAGTGAAAATCCAAGTGTTGTATCCTCAACTTGAAACAATATGCCGCCTTGACATGAAGGTAAACATTGTCCTACATGGTAGGATTTACATGTTGATTAATATTCTGACGGATGATAATACAGAGTAACAACATCTGGGTTTAATATGTAATAGTAAATTTTTGTAGGATTATTTTTATTATACCTATCTATTTAATAATAAAAACAATCCTGGAAGATCACTTCAATATTGGAGTAAAGCTTCCCAGAACAAATAAAAAGGCAATTAAAGAAACCAAAATTAAAAACTTATTATATATTAAGAAGAAATTAGAATTATTTTATATCAGGGCATGAATTATCTGATAATCAGACTGAACACTCAAGAAACTAAAACTATTTACAGGAGTTTTTATTATATGAATTACATTAATTCAATATAATTCTTGTGAAAAGACCAAATATAATATTGAATATTAAAAATGTATTTGTTTATATGTGTGTATGATTGTAAGAAATTTTATTTTTATTTCTTGTTCTACTAATTAGATAAACTTAAAAATTTCCAAAAAAAAAATACAATTGAATATATAACATATTTGTATAGATTAAACATAGGAGAGAGGAGAGGCAGCGTTCATAGCATTGGTACTTTTCTAGAACTTCTTCAGCTAAAATGAATAATGTTTTTCTTTATTAAATATTCCAAATTTTCAAGAGCGTTTTTAAATAATTAGTAAAATTAATTATTTCGAGGAAATAACTTTATTGAACCCTTTCACCCTCTTCATGCTTCGATTAATTTTTATTTTTTTCGACAACGTTTCAGGCAATTCTGCCCATTTTCAAGTCTAAGCATTTATCTATAATATTACAATATATTAATCACAAATATACATGAGTATCACAAATATTGTAAGAGCACGCACAATAACAATCTACGAAAATTCCAAAAAGTTAAATTAATTAATAAAATCTGTACTAACATTATCTTATCCTCTATGTAATATTTTTTTTATATAGTTGTTATAAAAGCTTTCTTCATTCTTATAATATTAATTTAAATATACTATTTATATATAAATAAAATATATTAATATAAATAAACTATTTATGGAGAGTCAATTTTATAAATTAAAACAAAAATACTGAAATTTACAATACATCTTAAATAAGGCCAAATAACGATTTTTTCAACAATGTGCCATATTATTTTATAAATTACCTTTGGATACGTCCTACAAATAGAATTTTTTTTTTTTTTAACAATTTACATCAAATGATATAAATTTCCGTCCTATGTGTATATATATATATATATATATAATATATAATATATATATATATATATATATATATATATATATATTATATATATATATATATATATTATATATATATATATATATATATATATATATATATATATATATATATAATAGCCTTATGTCCAGTGTGAGCTGTAGGATTACATATTATTATGTTCTTATAAAATATTATTGTAAATGTGGGCAGAATTGCCTGAAACGTGGTCTAAAAAACTAAAAATGAATTGAAGCAGTGAGAGGGTGTGAAAGGGTTCAATAACGTTATTTCCTCGAAATTATTAATGTTATGAATGTATAATGTAAAAAAGGGAAAAATAACTTCGATTTCTTACTGTGTACAACCTCAAATAAAAATATAGCATTTTTCACAATCGGACAAGTTTGCAACTGAAAATGTGATAAGAATATCACGCTAAAACTGAGGGGTGATCAAATCATATAATTCTAGGATATTTGATATATATATATTTTATATGAAAATAAAGTGTTTACTCTCTCTTAATATAAATATCAATAAAATAGTTAAATACTTACTACTAGACTCTTGTTTAACCAGCTAGTCGACTTCAGTATTTCAACTCTAAATCTCATATTTTCACTCTCTATTTGTTGTATAAATATAAATATTTATGATGTGTTGAAAACTGTTTATAACAAATACATTATGATGTTGAAATTCAAGCAGTTCCACCAATTCAATTAGTTCAAAATTCAAATACATTAACCAACGCCATGGTCTTATAATAGTTCATATGTTCTTTAAGCCCTATAATTGGGATCAATACAAAAATCAGATGCGGTAACTTGCGGTAATAGTAGTCATGCAGAAAATTCAGTCAATCTGTCTACAAAAGCGGGCAAGATAAACATTCTACCTACATATTAATAACTTTATATGATTTATAACCTAATATAATTTATTCCTTTGAATTCTAGTCATAGGGAACTAGAAATAAATAAACTGAAAGAAAGTGTGAGGGAATGAATTAAAGGAAATATCAAACATATTTTGTATCTCGAAATTGATACTGGGTATTGTTTTCTGCTCAATACCACGTATTTTGTTTTATTTTATTTTACATGACAGCTAATTTTCTCTGCTTCTCTAATCAACGATTTTTTACGAGTCTAACGATTTTCTTTTCATTATAATATAGGTAATATGTATTTATAATTGATTCGGTAAATTACCTTAAACATACATTTTTATTTTACAACTCATTACATATAAAATGTATTTTGTGTATAGCTGAAAACAATTAGCAATAATAATAACGGTTTATATTACAGAAATGATTTTAGTCTGTTATTATGTCTATATAAATTCGGATGACTTGCTGTAAAAAATTCCGTTTTTCACATATCTTGTATAAATTAAACTTTTCTCAGTCTTCTGCCGTTTTGATACCTTTAGTGACCACTGTGAGGCGTCACTAGACTCGGGAATGTTAAAGTTTATGCTTTAACACACAGGCCAACACGACCTCTTAG